AACAAAATTTAATTTACTTGGGAGCTTTGAAGTAATAAAAATATGATATATGTTATTCTGCTTTCACATTTGAATACATGGTAGATGATACTCAGCTTTTACATGTTTGTGTGGACATAATTAATAGAGGTAGTGATATGTGTTTTTTATGTTGTAGTTTTCTTGAAGTTATATTTTGGAATATAGTTTGATTTAAGAAATTGTAAGATAAAAAATGGATTAAATGTCATGAGAGAGTTCTTTCATTTTGGTTAGTTGATTTTGTTTAGTGGCATATCAACACCTCTATGGGTTATTCAATACCAAAATCTAAATACTTTGAACACAATTTTATGGCTTCAACTAAATATATTTTGAACACAATTGTATGCCTTCAACTACAGATAAAATGTATTGTTATTCATTTTGCTATATGTACTGATGGTAATTTTTTAATATAAAAATGTATTGCTGGTATTTTTTACTATAAAAAATGTATGTTTATACTTTCAAACTGTTTTGTTTTTGTTTGAGTGGGAGGGGGCAATATTTGCTCATAGCTGAGACCCATACAGATGCTACCACCCCAGGTCAAGGTGGATCTGGGAACAATAGCAATTAAGAGGTGTTACCATGCTTCTCAAAATCTCCAATTTCGCAATCTTGCTGCCGGATATAGTTTATCATCATACGCAGGACTAATATTTCATAAATAAAGAATTGCCATCATTATAGACTGATTTACTTGGACTGATATCCTTATTTTGTAGATAGATAACACTCCTTCCCAGTATTTTGAACAGGAGTAGAGGTTTTATTGTGTAGTGTTACCTACTTGTAGGAAGTAGTATGCATTCAACTGCTTCATGGGTAATTTATGATTTCATATGTAAATGAGTCACCTTATCTCCCTGTACAAAGAGGTTTTATCCCCTAATTTTCCCTGGAACTTGTTCTGGGAGCTCTTGTCTCCTCACTATCTTCCTCTTTAAGAGATTGTCTAGATATGGCAGATATTGACCTTCTTTTTTCATGGGAATGTTTCTCCAATCATTGTTCATCTTCAGAGTCTATATTACTCTTGATTTCACTGTCTCGTTCATCTTGCCTTGACATGACGCTTTTGCCTTCATTACTTTCAGGATCATTATACATTTCTTCATCGCTATCATGTTGCAATCTAACTTGGTCTGCATGCACTAATATCCAATTTCCATTCTTTTCTATTATCATAGTGTTCTGTCCACTTTGCATTATGAATCTTGCTTCTTGTAGATTAGATTCACTATTCTTTTTATACCATATTTTTTCATTGGTGGCATAGGACATGGTCAGTGGGGCTCTAATTTGCATTCTAACTTGGTCTGCATATCTTATTTCCATTCTTTTCAATTATCGTAATGTTCTGTCCACTTTGTATTATGAATCTTGCTTCTTGGAAATGAGGTTCATTCTTTTTATACCATGCGATTTCACATATTTTCAGTCGATTTTTTTATAGTTTGCACCATCCTTTCTGCTAATCCATTTGATTTCGCATGGTACAAGAGATGTTTTATATGGTTTGCATCCAATTTTGTTCAACCATTGACATAGTTCCTCATCACAGAACTCTGGGGCGTTGTCAAATACTATCATTTTTGGAACTCCATTTCTTGAAAATATGATCTTTAATACATGTTTCATGGTCAAACTTCTTTTGTTGGAGACCTGTATTACTTCTGGCCAGCCTGAATACAAATCTACCAGTATTGATAATTGTTATGATGTTGATTTGGGGTTAGTAGAGACAAACGCCAAATAACACGTAACAATAAAAAGGGTTTTAATAGGTTGGTAAATAGGTACAGAAATCGCCTGAGTAGTCAATAACTAGCTCAGCTAAGAACTTCTCTGTTCCTCTGTCTTCTGACATGCCACTATTTAACGTCTTTGTTCGCAGACAAGTTCATCTTCAAGAGGGGTGGTAAGGTTTCCGACACAACAATAATAATCTTAATTAACATGGGCATGATCCATGTGTACTCTGCCCCAAAGTTAGGACTCTTTAGGCTGTGTATGTGTTTTTGTCTGTCTAAATTTTCTTCTGTCATTGCATCAATCCAAATATTATCCTGGTAGCATATATTTTTTATATTGGTACCATTAACTTGCTTTATCAGCCTTTGAAAAATCACACTTGTGGTTTTAATTCCATACGGCTTTCTTTTCCATCTTAATAAGTCACTTGGTGAGTTTATTGTTGTGACTTTTTAAAATTATTTGTCAATAGGTATTTGATGGTATGCCAACTTTAGATCAATTTTAAAGAATGTTTTCATACTCACAAGATGAGTTCAAAGCTCATTCTACATTACGGATAGGATATGAGTCTCCACATATTTTGCGGTTTACACCTATTTTGTAGTCACTACATATGTGCAGATCCCCATCGGTCTTTCTTAGAATTACTAACAGGAGGCTCATTTGCTCCGTGAAACTCTTTCCAATAGATCTTGTTCCAGTAATTTTAAAAATTTTTCCACAACTATTGGTTGTAAATGGACTGGCACTTTTCATGCTTCAAAATATAAGGGGGAAACATTTTCCTTTAGTTTTAACTTCACTTCATAGTCTTTTAGCATACCAGTTTCTTTTGCCTTGATTTTGTTCACTTATTTTTATCGAATTTATGTTCAATACATCATTTCCTGTATACCATTTTTTCCAGTTTGCCATGATAATCTTACTTATTATAAAACACAGATTGTGTGTGTGTGTGTGTGTGTCTGTACGTTTATATATTGGATTGGATTTCCTACATTTTTCAACCGATTTCAAAAATACTTCACAGGACTACGTAAAATTACCCTGCGGTGGTTCTGACAGTGCCAAAAATTGGAATAACACAATTGTGTTTGCACGAAATCAATTTGAAAACACAATTCTGTCGCCAGAATGAAAGGGGGACAACTCATATCGAGATATACTTATTATAAAACCCAGGTTGTTTGTTTGTGTGTGTGTTTGTTTATATATGGGATCGGATTTCCTACATTTTTCAACTGATTTCAACAAAACTTCACTTTTCTTTTGGCAGGTAGTGTTTCTTATTGTCTTGCATACTTTTTTCTTTATTTTTACATTTAGAATGCTTTAAAAATTCCATTTTCAAGACAATTGTTTATAATAAAATTCTATTCAATCGGTAGACTCATAACAATTGAAAATGTTTGAGTTTGGTTTTGACCAATTCGTAAAAAAAAAAAAAAAAAAAACTAATTAAGACATGCGTGTTCATCAGCCTTAAACAATAATCTTTGTCAATTTAATTTTTCAGTCTTTATGATGGTCGATACTTGATCTATCTCATACTGTTACATCCCCGGGCAATGCCGGGCTCTACTGCTAGTTAGTAATACATCAAATTTATTTTTTGTTTCATGTATGTTTTGAAATGGCCTAATATTTTTATCACAGATCCATCAAACTGATTCAAATGAACATGGCTTTTCTTTAATCTTGGTTTTCCTAATTTCTTCCAGAAATTTCTGGTCATGTCACTACTCGTATCTAGTTGCATATGCAATAAAACATTATTGATTTGGGTTTTTAGTAACCCTTTTACATTTATTTTTCAATCAAAAGGCATCCATACTTACTTTCTCTTCACTTTGTTGGACTATCTCATATCTTTAAAATGATTCATTTTGAAACATTTTTCTTTCTTTCTTTGATGTTGATATCCACAATAAATATATATCTATATCTCTGAGATGAGGTATTATGATTATTTACATTATTTACATTATTCAGCTTGTTATCCTTATCTTCATTGCTATATTCACAACGTTTCAGCTGTTGTACACGCCAGCCTTCTTCAGGTGATTGGAATTTCAAACCAAACCCTTTATTTTGTCCACCAAGATAGATTGGCAGAAGTAGTGAACCAAAAAAACTGAAAAGAGAATTGAGTTAAAGGGAAATAACTGAAACATCCAGAAGAGGCATGGCATGTGGGATTAGAACAATCTACCCTGGTGGACGAAATAAAGGGTTTGGTTCAAAATTTCAGTCACCTGAAGAAGGCCAAAGCGTACAACAGCTGAAACGTTGTGAATATGGCAATGAAGATGAGGATAACAGTCCGAATAATGTAAATAAATACACATTATTCTATCTTTTTTTGTTATCGCATATGTGTCCATTTCCTTCACCGGATCTGTAATCTTTGTTTTATTAAATTTTCCAATTAATTCTTTTTACTGAACAACACACTGTTCTAGTGACAACTTTCCTGATTACAAATGTATTAGAGTCATTTACCAATACTCCTCATTTTGAAAGCTGTTTACCAATTTCATTTGGATCAAATCCTCTTCACTTGACTAGTTTTCCAATCCCAGTTTCACAAATTCACAATATTTAGCAGACTGTTTTAAATGAAGAACATATTTGATAACCGGTTCATTCGCTTTTTCATAAATATTCATAAATTTAGATCTCTCTGCATTCAGTCATATTTTCTTGGCTCTTATGTTTTAATCTATTAGTTGACTTATGTTGTGAAATATCATTTTCACCAACTGTCTTGGGTGAGCAATTCCTGATAATTTTATAATGATCTTACAGCCAGCAGTAACCAACAAGATGTCCGTTATTTGGTTTTCTCCTCCGATTGATTTTGAATCCTTTAGCATTTTTGTTCTAGATTTAACTGCTAGTATTCTAAGCCATGCTTGTGTGTATTCATAATTATCAAGCAATAATTGTTCATTCAGTTTGTTAGATATCGGCAACACCAATGTTGTGTAGTGTTATCTACTTGCAGGAAGTAGTATGCATTCAACTGCCTCATGAGTAATAGCCGTAGCTATTTATACTCTTTGTGACTTCATATGTAAATGAGTCACCTCAGGCTTAGTCCTTGTTTCCTGTTCCTTTTAAAGTTTTCTCATTCTTTTTCACTCCCAATAATTCCTTGCATCTTAGTGGCATTATTGCCTTGCTTAGGGTAAATTGATTAAAAAAAAAAAAGTAACTGAGATAGATAGATAGATAGATAGATAGATAGATAGATAGATAGATATGAAGAGACTGAGAGATATTTATGAAAAGATATGACTAAGTAGGTGCCTTCAACAGGGATTAACTAGCCACCCTAACAGAAGGGTATATTCAGAAACAAGCAAATCATTGTTACCCTATATATGGATTAATTTTTCCTGTGGTAGTTGTTTTGTTACAATTTCATAAATAGTTTATAAAGACTGTTTATGAAAAATGAGGGAGATGCTGCTCAAGATCCCACTTTCTCTAAATCAATGTACTGCTTACACTGTTTTACAAAAAGAAAAGAACAATATTCCAAAAGGAAATCTATTTGTTTATGAGAAGAAAATTGAACCATTTTCTTTATCATTCCTATCTTGCCAATATAACCCCAAAGCCATTATTGTTGTTGCTATTATTTCTAATGATGTTTGATATGTTTGTAGTTCTTGTGTTTCTTCTCAATCGATTGCTATTGTCTCTGCTTTATTGCTTCTTTGGAAAATGGTTCTGTAGGCAAAGCGGCGCTGCAGCCAGCAAAGTCAGGAATGCTGTCATTGAAATGGTCTGTGGGTCAGTTCTTGGCTTTTGGATTCTTTTTTGTTGGTATGTTGTAACTAGGAATTATAGATAATGTTAAATATCAGCGTTACCAAAGATTCTCAAGATGAAATGGAAGATTTCAGATAAACTAGTTTGGAAAATGAAAAGAAAGCAATTTCTACAAGAAAGACAGAAAAAAATTGAGGTTAAAAAATAATAAGGAAGGAAAAAAAGGAAGAAAAAGTAAAGAGAAAATAAAAGCAAAACATTACAAAGGAAGAGAGGGAGGAGGCAAGAAAATAGAAACAAGAAGAAAAGGAGTAAAATGGAGAAATAAAGGGAGGGAAGAAATAAAAGAGACAAAATGTAGGCAGAAAGAAAGAAAGAAAGAAAGAAAGAAAGAAAGAAAGAAAGAAAAAAAGAAAAAAGAAAAACATATGAAAAGGAAGGGAAAATAAAAGTAGATTATGAAGAAAAGAAAGTAATTGAAAAAGGAAGAAAAAATTAAAAGAAAAGAGGAAGGAAGAAAAAAACAAGAAAAAAAGGAATAAAATAGAGAAATAAAGGGGGAGAAGAAATAAAAGAGACAAAATGAAGATAGAAGAGGAGAAAGAATGAAAAAATATTGATAAAAAAGGAAGAGAAAATTAAAGTAGATTAGGAAGAAATAAAAGAAAAATACGAAAAGAAGAAGGAGAAAAGGAAGAAAAAAGAAAGAAAAGGAAACATAATTAAAGAAGGAAGGAAGAAGGAAAGAATAATTGAAATGGAGAAATAAAGAGAGAGAAGAAATAAAAGAAAAAAATGAAGCCAATGGAGGAGAAAGAAAGAAAAAATATTGAAAAAAGAAGAAAGAGAAAATAAAAGCAGATTAAGAAGAAAGAAAAGAAAATGTGATTAAAGAAGGGAGAGAGAAGGAAAGTAAGTAAGTAGAAAAGAATAAAATAGAGAAATAAAGGAAAAGAAGAAATAAGAGACAAAATGAAAGCAGAAGAAGAGAAAGAAAGAAAAAATATTGAAAAAACAAGGAAGTAATTAAAGAAAGAAAGAAGCAAAAAGAAAAGAATGATTAAAACATTGAAATAAAAGGAAAGAAGAAATAAAGCAACAAAAAAACGAAGAAATAAAGAAAAATGAAGGTAAATTAGAAAGAAAGAAAAAGTAATTAAAGAAAGAAGAAAAAAGGAAAATAGAAGAGAAAGAAAGAAAGAAAATCAAAAGCAGTGAAAGAATATAAAGAAAAAAAATGAAGAAATAATGAAAAAAGAAGAAAAAAGAAACTAGCTTAGAAAAAAAAAGGAAAACTAATGCAAAAAAGAAGAAATGAAGAAAAATTGCAAATGAGGAAGAAATAATATAAAAAGTCAAGAAGGAAGAATGGGGTAGAAGAGGAAAAAGGACAAGAAAAAAAGTGAAAGAAGCAAAAAAAAAAAGTAAAGATTAGAAAGAAAAATATAAAGGAAAAAGTGAAAAAGAAGGAAAAGATGAAAAAAGGAAAAGTATCTTAGAAAGAGAAACATGAAAAAAAGAAGATAAATTAGAAAAAAGAAAAAGGAAAGGTAATTAAAGATGAAAGCAGAAAAAAATGAAAGTAGATTAGAAAGAAAGAAAAAATTAGTTAAAAGAAGGAAGAGAAAATGAAAGAAAAGAAATTAGAATGAAAAGAAAAATTATTTGAAGAAGGAAGAAAAGAAGAATAAAGTAAAGTAGAAGAGGAAGAAAAAGAAATGGATAGTTAGAAAGAAAGAAAGAATAAAGTAAGAAAACCTAAGGAAAAAAGAAGGAAAAAGAAAATAGAAAGTAACATAGCAAGAAAAAGTAATGAAAAAAGGAGAAAATAGAAGGTAAGTTAGAAAGAAAGAAAAAAAGGTAATGAAAAAAAGAAGGAAAAAGTGGTGAGAAAAGAAAAAAAAGTAATGAAATAAGTGAATAAAATGAAAGCTAAATTAGAAAAGAATTAGTAATGAAAAAAGAAGGAAGAAAAAAGTGGTGAGAAAAGAAGTAATGAAAAAAGGGAAAAAAATGAAAGATAAATTAGAAAGAAAAGAAAAAGCAATGAAAAAAGAAGAAAAAAATCAAAGCAGTTTAGAAAGAAAGAAAAAGAAAAAGTTAATGAAAAAGACAGAAAGGCAAAGCAGATTAGAAAGAAAAAAGACAAGAAGTAATAAAAAAAACATCAAGAGGAAGATAGAAAGAGAAACAGAAAAAAAGAAGAAAACATTCTCCATTTTGGCATCAACCAAAAACATAGGTATTTTTTTGTTTTGCATTTTTCATTGTTTTTTTATTGCTTTTTTGCAATGGTCTGACAGATTTCTTTTCATGTTCAGATGTTTTTATCCAGAGTCAAGTCCATTGGTGACTTATGAGCTTTGAAATATGAAAACAGAAGAGATGACTATTAAGTCTGAATTTCTAACTAGGAGAGGTGCTGAAAAGTTTTCACCTCAACTCACACCAGAAAATCTGACCAAATGACCAAACATCACATTTGAATTCTTTCTTGGTCTGGCTGAGATCTTTTCAGCACCTGTTCTATCATGCAGTTTTTTTTTTGTTTTTTTATACTAATATTCATCAAATACAAGGCCCAAGAGCCACTTAAGGTAGATTGTTACTGTGTGGTATTGTATGAGCATAAGAAAAAGCAAGAAGTGAAATTTGTGAAAGGAAAGATAACAGTTAACCACAGACTAAAAAGATCAAGATTGTAGTGATTGGGAAAACATCTCTTCAGGAGACTGTTCAATAAAGCAGCAGTCTTATCATTGAATACTTTATTACATTTTAGCATCTCTGCATTTATTGGGACCAAAGAGCCTGCATGCAGACAGAAAACAAGTTCTGTGAAAATACAAAAATAAAAACAGGAGTAACACAAGGATGCATTTTCTCAAGGGATTTATTCAACCCATACAGTTCTGTATTCTTTATCCACTGTGCCATGTGTCCTCAAGGATAAAGGCATTAGTTAGATCCAGTGACAGGACCCAAAGAGTGAGAGTTCAATACCTGGTTAAGGCAGTGGAGAACTTGGAGAGGTAAGTTAACTAGAGATAACTAATAACTGACATCTATTAGACATGGCATGTGGAACAAGAATACTCTACCCCAGTGAGCGAAATAAAGGGTTCAGTTCAACATTTCAATCACCTGAAGAAGGCTAAAGTGTACAACAGCCAGAATGTTGTGATAAATATGGCAACAAAGATGAGGACAATAGCCCAAATAATGTAAATAGTGGGTTAATTTTGTTATTAATTTTTCTGTTAACTTTGATCCATTGCAGCATATCATGTTGGAAACTAAAATAATAAAAATAAACATTTTATCATATTTACATATGTACTTTTATTTTGTAGATATGCTGTATTTTATTTTAAAATTAAAAATAATGTCGACAAGTGTCAAAATTTAAGCTGATCTATTGTTTACTAGTTTTAATGATTTTTTTTTTGCAAATGTCTTAAATATCGTCTGTTTCAAGGTTGGTTTTTGTATACTAGTGCGAAAAGGAAAGAAAAAGTAACTGATTTGTTTATTTTACCTATATATGGTCTTCTCGTGCGTATACACATTAACTCATTTGAGTTTAGCCATGCTTTAGAGATGCTTCTAAAAGAGTGAATTCTTGGTTTTCTAAAAGTTTTTTCAACAACCAGCCTTGAAGTGTGTATTTAGGCAGGAAGGGAGTGACATCATTATCCCTTCCTCCTTCAACTCACTGATACATTGCAGCTGGCAGAGGCAGATGTCACCATGACAACCAACCATGACAGAAAATGAAGCTGTGTGATCTCTTCATGAAGAAAGCCTAAAACATGCATTTTATACCTGGCAGGGTATGCCGAAATTTTAAAGAGTTACAAAATTAACTTTATAACCCATAATTAAGACCCCTAGTGGTAATTTGAAACTTTTATGAAGAAGACAATGGCTAAGATGAAAATACCTGAGTTATCTTTTTATTTTCTGCTTGTAAATACAAAAATCACTTCATTATAAGTTTGATATTAAATATCTAGGAACATTCTCATAGTACTAAAACCCATTATTAGTGCAATTCATGTATTATTCTTTTTTGTTTACATATAAATGTACTTTTTATTGTAAATAAAGTTTCTCTTTCTTACATTGAATATTTATCATCTGTTTCCTTTGCTGTTTTGTTTATATTGTTAACCTTCATATCAAACTTCTTGTCACTTGTTCCTGAACAGGAGAATTTTCATGATAATATGCTACCAAGTTGCCCCTCCCTTAATTCTTTGTTTCTAGTATTATTATCCCATAAACATTTGAGATCGCTGGTGCCAACTTCCAATTTATTTTTCCAATACATAACAAAATATCCTATCAATGACATACCACAATACCTGATGCAATTGGTTAAACCACTGACCTGTTACTATCTTACTCAGCCAAGCAAACAAATTGAATAGCTTTTGCTTCTATTGTCAACCTCGGCAAGGTACAGGCACTGTAAATTATTGTCTTCGTCCGTCTTATTCATGGATAGAAAACTGGCATTTCTTTTAATAAAACAGAATGCCAAATTTCACTTTCTTTTGTACAGGGTTCAGGAATTTGTTAAGATTACAAGACGGAAATCTGAGCTTTTCCAATCTAGAGATGTTTTCATTACAGAAAGCAAGTGGTTTGACACACACATACAAAAAAGAAAAGCCCCCCCCATCCCCAGCAACAAGTTCTTCCTTGTCATCAGGTTTCTGTTTGGCAATGATTGATAACCCTTGTTTTTAACGTGTCTCTCTTTGTGGTGAGGGTAGGTGGTATAGGTAGAGGTGGTTAGAACCCAGTTGATAATCAAATGCCCTTCATATTCGGTAAAATACATTTTGTCATTTATTAACCAGATGTGCCTACACCTAAAAAAAAAAAAAGAACAAGAACTGATGTGATAGTTAAAAGTATATATTTACCTGGGCCTTCCCACTAAGGCATGATATGACACAAGATTATTTATATGAGGAGCCCATACACATACATCTGCATATGTGCCGAAGACAAAAACTGCCCAGTTCATGCAACCACTGTCATTCTGGTGTTGATATTACACCAACCCTACCTCTGTTAATGCAATAAGGAAGGTTCTGCCATATGGTTAGAATCCCCTGTCATCTAAAATGAAGAGAAGTTTCTCTCATTTCAGTTCAAAAGCAAATGGCATTAGACTGGATGTATTTATCTGACTCCCCCACTAAGCAGGATGTGATACGATGTCGTTTTTAAATGGGAAGTCTATACATATATGTATATATATGGGCACTTCAGTATAGTGCATTGGTGAGCAAGCAAGAACAATTACGATTGTGTCGTGAGTTCAATCTTCACTGAGTGCCTCACACTTTCAGCCTTGTTCTACATCTCAGCTACACTTAGAAAATCACCATATATGTATGCAAATGAACCAAGG